CGAACTCACAAAGATCCGCCTGCCTCTGCCTCCCGAGTGCTGGGATTAAAGGCGTGCGCCACCACCGCCCGGCCAAAAAGAAATTTTTTAAACGTTTTTTTTTTTTTTTTTTTTGAGACAGTCTACATGAGACTAGCCCAGGCTAGTCTCTAACTCCTAATCCTCCTGCCTCTACCTTTCAAGTCAAGTGCTTGAGTATATGAATGTGACCATACCTGGTCAAAAACAAAACAAAACAAAAAAACCCAAGCTTTTAAAATTAATTATCCCTGGGCTGGAGAGTTGGCTCAGTGGTTAAGAGCACTGGCTGCTCTTCCTGAGGTCCTGAGTTCAATTCCCAGCACCCACATGGTGGTTCACAACCATCTATAGTGGGATTCGATGCCCTCTTTGGCATAAAGTCATACATGTATATAGAGCACTCATACACGTTAAAAAAAATATATATATCTTTAAAAAAATTTAGTTATCCCTTTTTAGAGATGCATACCCATGGCATGGTAAAGTAGATTTGATTTTGTGTATGGAGAAGAAAAGGAGATGGAGATGCCCTCTGCGCTCCCTCCTGAAAAGGCAAACTTGAGGAGCCCAGGTGTCCTGTTTCCCTCCGCAGGACATTGGCTTGTGCCTTGTCTCTAGGAGTCACAGCAGCCCTGACTGGTCACCCTTTTCATCCTCACAGTTTCTATTTAAGCATCACACACTGACTTCCCTGTCCCCCCAAACACAGCACACCCCTTATGTTACCCTTGTGCAATATTATGACCTCCTTAGTTGGCATTTTATTTTATTTTGAGACAGCATCTCATGCAGCCTGGCTAGTCTTGAACCCCTGACCGTCCTGTTTCCATCTCCCAGGCGCTGGGACTGTAATGGTGTAGCGTCACACCTGGCTCATGTGCTTTATTTTTATTTTAATAAGGAGGGTTTTTTTTAAAATTATTTATGTGAAATAGAAAATATATTAACGCATAAATTATTTATGTGTATGAGAGTTTCGGCTGCATGCATGTCTGTGCAGCATTTGCATGCCTGGTGCCTGTGGAGGTCAGAAAAGTGCATCAGATCCACCTGGAACTGGAGTTACCCTGTCAGGGCAGCTCCCAACCTCTTGTAACTCCAGCCCCTGCAGGATCATTATCCACTGGCCTCCATGGTCACCTGCACTCACATGCACACACCTACACACAGTTAAAAGTAAAAAAAAAAAAAAAAAAAAAAAAAAGAAATTTTAAATTAAAAAATTAAAATTAAGAAATAAAAGGAAGTTGAAAAGAGATTGGGCTAAAAAAAAACCTAGTAGAGTAGGAAAATGATTGTGGGAAAGAAAAGATGAAACAGGAGTCGGAGCTGGGGTGGGGGCTACCCCGGTGTCATGCTGCACCCCAGAACTGCCCCTCTCCCCACAGTGCGCCGCACCATCGTCAAGATCCCGTCCACCCTGGAGGTGGAGGTAGAGGACGTCACCGCCTCCTCCCAGCACATCCACTTCATCAAACCGCTGCTGCTGAGTGAGGTCCTGGCCCAGGGAGGCCCCTTCCCAATGGCCGCGGAGATCCTGGAGGTTCCCGAGGGCCCACCCATCTTCCTCAGCCCGTGGGCGGCCTCCCTACGCAAAGGCCAAAGGCTCTGCATCCACGGGCCAGCCTCGCCATCCTGGCGGGTGGTGGCCTCCAGCAAGAGCCGAAGAGTTCCCAGATACTTTTTTCTCTCTGGGGCCTACCAGGGCAAGCTGAGGCGGAGGCCAAGGGAGTTCCCCACGGCCTATGACCTTTTGGGTGCTCTCCAGCCAGGCCGACCCCTCCGGGTGGTGGCCACAAAAGACTGTGATGGGAACGAAGAGGAGAATCCTGGATTTTCTTTCCTGGCTGTGGGTGATCGGCTGGAGGTGCTGAGTCAAAGCCAGGTCTGCGGGACCCAGGGCCAGGACATAGATGTCTTGATATGTCAGCGTCTGAGTGAGCAGGCCGGGGAGGAAGAGGAGGAGTTGGAGGAGGAAGAGGAGGAAGTGGAGAGCAAAGAACAGATTCTGCTACCCCTCTACCTCTCTGGGAGCTTTGTGGAGGAGGTGACTGATGGCCGGCGCTATAGCCTAACAGATCTCACTGCCCAGTTCTCCCTGCCCTGTGAGGTCAAGGTGGTGGCCAAGGATGCCCGGCACCCTACTGACCCTCTGGTCTCCTTCCCGGGCCTGCGGCTGGAGGAGAAGCTCACAGAACCCTTTTTGGTGGTAGGCCTGGACTCCCAGGCAGAAATGTGCTTTGAAATCCCTCCCAGGTGGATGGACCTGACGGTAGCGGAGGTTGAGGAGCAGCCCGGTCAGGTGGCTGGGCCACTCTCTGTCGCTAGGGTGGAGGAACTGTCAGAAGCCTTCTACTACAGTCTCCGGAGGCTGCCGGCCCCTGAGAGCCAAGCGCCCCCGCCCAGGCCCCCAAAGAGCAAGGGTATCAGTGTGCAGAAGCAGATCATACAGAGCTGCAAAGAGGACAGTGTGCAGGTATGCATGGGATGGGACCTCACGGGCAGGAAGGGTGGTGTGAAGGTATGCACGGGATCCCACGGGCAGGGAGGGGGTCACCTGTGGGGCTCACCCTGGGCCCTTTCCTTGCTTTTTGCCTGCCGTGATTCTCTCTTCCAATTGTATTGAACTTGCAGCTCATTAAGTTCTGTTCTTTGTACCAGTTGTTCCCACTCAGGCCTCATGATCCTCAAGTTGGTACAATTATCAGTATTTTATGATTGAGAAAATGAGGATTGAGACTCTGGCATGCCCCCCAAGTTGGAATTACTAAATGGAAGGCCTGGACTTGAGTGTGAACATTCTGACTCTAAGTTCCTGTCAGCCCTGTACTGTATGTGCTTTTCTTGTCACCTGGCTGCCACTCCCAAGTGGAGCATCATCTGTTCTTCCAGTGGCTCTTAGGATGGCCTCCTGTCTAGTTTGTTTTCTGTGGCTGTGATAAAATGCCCGGAACCAAAAGCGACTTAGAGGAGGAAGGTTTATTTTAGTTCACAGTTCCAGGTTCCAGCCTGTCACTGCAGGGAAGTCACAGAGACGGGCTTGAGACAGCTGGCCAGGCCATGTCCAGCCTAGAGCAGAAAGCGTCTGATGCATGCATGCCTATGCCTGCTAGCCTTCTTGCTGACTTTCTGTCCTTTTACACAGTTCAGAGTCCAGCATAGGGAATGGTTGTCCAACACTGGTTGGCAGTCAAGACAATCCCCCACAGACACACCCACAGAGCAACCTAATCTAGATAATTCCTCATCTAGACTCTCTGCCCAGGTAATTCTAGGTTGTCTCAAATTGGCAGTTAAAACTAGCCTAGTTCCCAAATCTCTGATTGCCTGCTGGACACAGTGTTGAAGCCTCCAGCGGTTCCACATGGCATCCTTCATGAATTGATTCCAGTCTGGCATGCCTGGGCCACCTCCCACCACCACTTTATATTCCCAGCTCCAGCCACAGAAGAAAGGCTCTGGGTTGGCACGTGGGTCTAGCATGGGTCACAGAATTCAGGTGACCCATACGAGACCTATACTAGGCCCGTGGCCATCGTTATTCCTCCTTCAGGAATAACTTACTGCTGTGGCCATAGCTTAGAGACATGTCACTTTCAGCCCTGTACTCTATGTAGTCTCTCTGCCTAAAGAGAGTTAGGCAGGATAAGGGGGCAGAGAGCAGAAATTCCGCGTCTCCAAGGCTGGTGGACCCTGTTAAATGAGCTAAGTGGAATCAAAGATGGGAGAGTGGGATGCAGGCTCAAGCTACCCCTCTGAGCATCTTTCTTAGTGGTAAACCCAAGAGGACTTCCCCCACAAGCCCTTGTGTTAGCCACTTCCTGTTTGTCTATAGCATGTTTACTTGGTGGCTCTTCTCACAGTGTCCCTCCTCTGCGTGGGCGCACACACGCCCATGCGCACGCGCACACACTCACACACACATAAGCACCAACATTCTCTTTACAGCGGAGATAACAGAGGCAAGTCACCAGAACTCATACAGCTAGGAGGATGGGAGGACTGGGTTTGAACTCAGCCCGGACTGCACTGCCTATGTGCCTGAGTGACCGATCCAAAGTATGCTTTGTGAACTCAACAAGCATATTGTTTTGAGGCCTCAGGAGGCCTGAATTTATTATCGTGTAGCCATGTGGCAGTGGAAGTTAAAAAGATGAGTCCTGAGGAATTTCAGTCTCATGAGAGACTCCTGTCCCTGAGAAGCCTGACCCAGAAAAGCAGACAGTAAGTGGCATTGTCAGGGAAACTGTCTCACGGGCTTGACAGCTGATCCTTGTACCTTTTCTGGTTTCTGGTCTTTTAGATTTTTTTTTGTCTTGTTTTCCTGCTCAGTCTCCAGTTATAGGACAACAGGAATCCTACCCACAGCCTGAACCCAAGGCAAAGACGACCTTGGAAGACCTCCCCAAGGACAAAGCAAGTCTGTACAGCAAGATTGCTGCCCACGAGAAAGACCTTAAATCCAAAACCCAAACCCAGAATTCAGGTGAGTCCTTGGGCCCATCAAGTCCCTCTTCCACCTCTGCTAGCTCTGCCCGGGGGACCCTCCTGTGGTCCTAGTTTGAGAGAGATCCAAGCTTGTACGGAGTAGGTCAGGTGGAGAGGTCTTTCTCGCTAGACCCCACACCCTAGCAATGAAATGAGACCAGTCCCAGATACAAGGTCCTCCTATGACAATCAGGACAGAAAAATGGCTGCAGTGGTCAAGGAAAATGGACTGTGGCTTCTGGGCCATAGTTAACCACACCTTCCCTGTTCATGGGAGGAAACTGAAGAGGGGGAGGAACTTGCCTAAAGACAAGATTCTGAATAACCTAGACTTTCTTTTCTTCTTCTTCAGTGGTGGGCATGAAACCCAAATCCTCGAGCACACTCAACAAATATTCTATCATTGAGTCATACCCCCTGCCTGACCCAGATATGGATGACCACGACTATGAAGAAATTTGAGCCCTTTCAGAAAATCATCTAGGTGCTGGGGAGGCCACAGTTCCCAGCTGCTGCTGCCCAGGGAGTTGGGATACCAGCTAACTCTTGAGAGACCTAGGGCAGTCTCCAGGGACTCAGACTCAGACGGGCATGGAACTGAAAATGGGACAGACACTATTCCTACCTTGCTGTAGAATAATCCTTCCCCATACTGTGAGTATGTATTGCTCTCATTGGTTAATAAAACGCTGATTGGCCAGTAGCCAGGCAGGAAGTATGGGTGGGTGACCAAACTAAGGATGACGGGGAGGAGAAGGGCAGAGTCAGGAGTCGCCAGGCAGGTGCCAAGGGAGCAGGAGATGAACGTAAAGGTATCCCTACATGGCAGAATGTAAATAAGGAATATGGGTTAACTTAAAATGTAAGCGCTAGTTAGTAATAAGCCTGAGCTATTGGCTGAGCATTTATAATTCGTGTAAGCCTCTGTGTGTTTGTTTGGGACAGGACAGGAAATGTCCAATTACACTGCCTCCTTTGGGTTCTAGAGGGTTCCTACCTCTGCCTGGTCCCAGAAGTTTGCATGTGATGCTCTCAGCCTTTAGAGCTTTAGTGTTCAGAGAAGCCATTTAAGTTCTGTCCACTCCTGTGCTTACCAGTTGTCCCACAACTAGGCGCAGAAGAATCAAAGGCCACCAGCTTCAGTACTGCCTGCCTCCTGGTAAAGGGAAGTCAGTCCTCCCGGCACCACCCAGTGTTCGCCACCTCCTTTGTCTGCTTCTGCAGTCCAGGCTGTGCCCAGCGGCAGACAGTATTCTCCATGTTGGTAGAACCCAGCTCATGGTAAATGGGCTTGTACAAATATAAATGTGAGAATTTGCCTCCAAGAACAAAACTTTCGGTAGGACTTTACGTCTCAAAATCTGTTAGTGGAACTAAGAGAGCTAATTCACAAAGATGGAGGGACTGGAGATGGCTCAGTGATTAAGAGTCCTTTGCTGCTCTTGCAGAGGACCCAAGTTCAGATCCCAGCACTCCCATCAGGTGGCTCACAATTGCTTGTAACTCCAGCTCCAGGGCATCTACGACCTGTTTCTGGACTCTGTGGACACTATACTCATCTGCACAACCCTGCCCACCCCCACAAAAATAAGACACAATTAAAAAAATTTAAAGCTGGGCTTGGTGGTGTACACCTTTAATCTCAGCACTCTGGTGGAGGAAGAGACAGGTGGATATCTGTGAGTTCAAGGCCTGATTGATCTACATATTTATTAAGGAAAAAAAAAAACAACAAGAAACTAATGGAGACCCAAAGCTGTGGAAATCTGGCATGCTTTTTAAAATAATTTATTTTTATGTGCATTGGTATTTTGCTTGCATGTATGAGGATGCCAGATCCCCTAGAACTGGAGCTACAGACAGTTGTGAGCTGCCATGTGGGTGCTGGGAACTAAACCCAGGTCCTCTGGAAGAACAGCCAGTGTGCTTAACCACTGAGTCATCTCTCCAGCCCCAAGGCATGCTTTGAGTGGTGCTGTAACATGGTTAAAGCTGCTAGGTGACTACCCAAGATCATTTCAGGCTAAAGCCCAGACTCAAAATGACATGCACTTCTGTATGAATAATTTATTAAGTCTTACCTGGGCACCAGACCCTTTAAAAACCAAACCTTGAGCTCTTGGAGAGAAACGGCAGCCTGATTTTAAAGATTAGGAAACAGGCTTAGCAACTGATGTTCTCAGGAGGTAGACCACCACAGTGGTTAAGGAGAAGGCTCCAAAAGGCAAAGTCTGGATTAGGTTCCCAGCATACCATGTACCAAATGCCAATTTCAGCCACTTGTTTCACTTTAGGCTTTAGTTTCAGGACATCTAAAGATTGTTTTAAGGATCAACTGATATATCTGCAAGGCATTTGGTACCTGTACTTGGCACTCAATGTTAGCATTGCTGGTAACCAAGCCAGACTAGCACAGTGCCACACAGCTGTGTCTGCCATCCTGGTTTCCATGCTACAGTCTCATCATGTCCAGAGGTAGAGATAAAAGGACAAACACAAACCTTTGTCCATGTAACTACCAAGGTTGGTTTAGGCATGTTGGGTGAGGCCATCTGTCAGATCCAGGGAAATGTGGGAACTGAAAGCTGGTGAAGTCACAGAATTTAGCCCTAGGCCACCAGAGAAGACAGCAGATAAATGGATGCTGAATTTACAGCTGATGTGAGAAGACTGGGTCCAGTTTCTGATCGGATCCCAGGCACCTACTCCTGTGCATGCTCCTGAGTCTGCTCCTCTCTGGGCTGCCTGGACCTGTCTTTGCAGGTCCTCTGACCTTTATACCCTTGAATGGAGTTCTCCAGGTGGTTCCTACAGGCTGCTGGCCAGTCCCAACTACGGGTTTCTCATCTACCAGTTTCTACTGCCTCTCCCCTAGAAGTCAATGTTCCTTGTACTGGAAGATGCAGGGACAGACAGTGGAGAGAAGCAGTAAGATCTTGACAGAAAGTTCCTTCCTGGCTCTCAACTACCAGAGGGTGGATCAACATACAAGGTGCCTCTAGTTTTCCCTTCCACGTACAAGTTCAATCTTGGCACAAAAGGAGGGCAGAAAAGAGGGCTACCAGTTCCTAGGAAATAGGATTTCCGGGGCTTGGAGAGACAGCTCAGTAGTTAAGAGGACTGGGCGTTCTTGCAGAGGGCCCAGGTTTAGTTCCCAGCACCCACTCCACTGCTCACAACTGTCATCCAGTTCCTGGGATTCTGACCTTCTCTTCTGGTTTATGTGGGCTCTACATGAACATAGCGCATATACATGGAGGCAAAATACTTATACACATGAAAAATAAAAAAAGAATTTCTGAGTAATCAGATGCTTCATTGTAGACAAAGGCAGCAATTTCTTAGCTTGGAAACCATGCTTAAAGGAATTACAGGGACTGGGGAGGTGGTCTAGTAGGTAAGGTGTTTGCTATATTGAGGATGATGGCCTGAGTTTGGATCCACAGCACCTACATGGAAGTTGGCCTAGTGGCATGTATTTGTAACCCTAACATTGGGAGGTGGGGCCAAGAGACAGGCAGATCCCAGGGGTTCACTGGGTAGCTGGTTTAGCTGAAACATCAAGTTCTAAGGTCCCAGAAATACATGGCTGAGGGAGATGCCTGGTGTCAACCTCTAGCCATACGTGCCTCCATGGGTAGATGTCCTCAGCCAGTGTCGGACTGCGCTTCAACACAAGCTGATTTTTCTGAGTAATGGCATTTGCTCGGGGAACCATCAGAGGACTTGTTTCCTTTCCCTCAACAAGATGGACAAGTGGGAAGGATATTACAATGGGGCTGGGGATGCCCCTTGAGCAATGGCCTTCCAAGTGATGACTATACACCAGTGAGTTCCCTTGCGAACAGAAAATAAGTATCAGCACTTTTTGTTTTGAGACAGGTCTCATTGTGCAGCCTTGGTTGACTTGGAACTAGCTATGTTAGACCAGGTTGGCTCCAAATTCAAGAGATCTGCTTGCCTCTGCCTTCCGAGTGCTGGGATTCAAGGTGTTGGTCAGTATACCTGGCTCATTTCTACTTCTGAATGCTTTATAATAAGTATATTAATAGGGTAAACTTATATAAAAGTTGCTAAACAAAATAGGGTACATGTCCAAACATTTTACCAATATGAAGTTTCTCCCAGCTACATTATCTTTTTTCTTTTAGGCTTGTGAAATCAACTGTACTAAAACAAAATAAAACCATTAATCCACACTAAATACTAATTCTTACTCTGGCCTTTTTCTAGGTAAGCTTAGTAAATGTTATTTTTCATGATGCCCCATTTCCCACTGCAGTCCTAAAAATTTTCCCAAGAGAAGGTTGAACACATGAAAGGTGACACTGGTAGTTTTTGTATGTTTTTTGTTTTTTTAAGATTTATATATCTATTAATTATCTATTTTAAGATTTATATATCATACAGTGTTCTGCCTGCATGAACAGATCTCATTATAGATGGCTGTGAGCCACCAGGTGGTTGCTGGGAATTGAACTCAGCCAGTGCTCTTAACCTCTGAGCTATCTCTCCAGCCCTGACACTGGTAATTTCTAAGAGCATGGATCATATTGGTGTTCCAATGTACTGAACACCTCATATTGGACTCCCAAACACATGCTCTTCTACCTGTGCAATGCAGCAGTTCTAGGGGCCGGAATTCCATACCACTCTCCTGCCTATGCTCTGTTTCCAACTACCAGTGCTCAGCAATCATGTGATCACTGAGAGCCATCAGGTGACTAGAAGTCAGGCCAGTCCACTGCAAGCCTCCTGGTACTTATCGCCTATTGCTAGTACCTAACTAACCGTTTGGGATGTAATAGACACTGAACAACTTTGTGTGTGTGTGTGTGTGTGCGCGCGCGCGCGCGCGCGCGCAAGCAAATGCCAGGAAGCATTAGATCCCCAGAACTGGAACTACTATAGTTGTGAGCTGCTTGACATGCGTGTTTAGAAATGAACTCAGGCCCCCTTGGAAAAATAGCAGGTGCTCATAACCTACTAGGTCTCCCTACCCCCACCCCTTTTTTGTGAGACAAGATTTCACTATGTAGTCCTGGCTGCCTAGAACCAGGTATGTAGATCAGGTTGGCTCAGAACTCAAGAGATCCACCTGTTTCCTGAAACAAGCCACTTAATTGCTAAGTTATTATTTGAATTCCATGGAAAGGCCCACCTAGAACCAAAGCTTTTTTTTACCTGGTAACTATAGGAAATTGGAAATCTGTGAAAGTACCCTATCATACATCCCAGACTGGAACATGTTTTGTTTTTTTGGTTTTTTGAGACAGGGTTTCTCTGTGTAGCTTTGGAGCCTATCTTGGAACTCACTCTGTAGCCCAGGCTGGCCTTGAACTCACAGAGATCCTCCTGTCTCTGTCTCTCAAGTGCTGGGATTAAAGGTGTGCGACACCACACCCGGCTGTTTTGTTTTTTCTTGTTCTCAGTAATCCCCTTTGTCTAAGAATGGATCCCTAACTATTAATATAACTGGTTAGCTGACCCTTACCTATGGTATGGCTCTAACTACTCTGTCTAGCAAACCACCAGATGTTCACCATTAGCAATCAGGGTGAGAGCTCATTTAGAAGTGAGCAGTTATTTTCAGGTTCCACATTATGAATTCCATCCCCAAGTTAGTTTTCATCCAAGACATCATTTACCTTTGACTTCTGTGAACTCATTTCCTCTACCACAAGAACAGCCTCTGTGAAGTCTCTCAGCAGACAGCCAACTCAGTTATACCATCACATACTGTCAGCACCACCATCAAAGGCCCCATTGGTCAGTGCTGCCAGGGGCTGAATAACCCTAGCCCAAGGTCTATTCATCATCCTTCATGGCAATGCCACATGCGCTGCACATCAAAGCCCTGAGGAGATAAGCCTGATGATCTGAGTTGGATCCCTGCAATGCACAGCGGAAGATGAGGGACTCTGTACACACAGAGAGGGAAAATATACCCCCGTAAATGTGATAAACCAGTAACATCTCAAAAGCGATTACACCAAACTGTTTTATTAAACATATGGACATTTATATTACAAACAATGCAGTAACATTTCTTCCCCTCTGCCCTGTGAGGCCCCACACCAGAACCTCATGCTCACTTAAACCACTTTTAGCCGTGGGCAAGACAAGGGGAAGGAAAGTGCAATTTTGAAAGTAACACCACAGACCAGAGTGGGAAACAAAAATAGGCAGAAGGTAGTGGGTTCTTTTTGTGGCCTGTGGCCCTATTATTATTCATCACCTCAACAGGAAGCCTTTCAAGAACAAAAGCTCCCAAGCATGACGAAGTTCTGCCTTGCTCTCTGGGTTGTGTTCCTCTTTCAATCCCGTCCATCCAGCCTGGAGTCCTGACTAGCTTATCTGGAATTTCTGTTAAGGAATCCCACCCTGGTTTACTTCCTTTTCAACTGTCTATCTCCTTTTGAACCTCTAAACAACAAACAACAAAACAGAACAGCAGTGAGTTTCAAGAGGACATAGGATGAGACCTCCTCAATGAAAATTCTGTCCTAGAAGCCACTGGCCAAAACCTATAGAGCTGGAGACAACAGATGACAGAAAAACAGGAAACAGTTCAAGTACCTAATGAACTCTAGTTACTCTGCATCTGTAGATTTAAAGTGATCATCATCCACAGTAGAATAAATGTGCCCCTCATTGCACAGAAAATCCACTGCTTGCCTAGAAGGAAAAAAAAGGAGGGGGGGTCCCCATATTAAAATCAGTGCCTTTTGAATATAGCTAAATAAGCAGACATCACTTGTTTTTCACTTCCTATCCTAACTAAGAATTACTCAGTGATTTTGTTCATAGAAGCCTCTTGCAGAGAAAAGCCAATTAAACCCCAGGATTGAGATTATCCATGCAGACAAGGGCTACCAGGGCTGCCTCAAGATCCCAGGCTCAAATTTCAAAAGGAATAGAGCCCCATTTAAAATGCCAATGTAGCTGACACAAGGACCCGAAGCCATAGTCAGCTTGCACATGAAATCCCTACTGTGTACAGGGGTCTAAGTCTGCCTTCCCTGGATTCAGGCCCCAGAATCACACTGAAATGCTTTTTGCCCTGCCTGTGGGCAGCAGAGAAACAGGAAGGGAAAGGTCATTCAGAAAGAGTAACTCCTCCAGATCCTCGGGTCCTCAGACAGTGACATGTTTAGTGACAGGCAGAATTTACCCAGTGATTCTTACCTTATCACCAGTGACTCTGAGATGGGCACTATCTATCACCACTTTACAGCACGGGAATAGGAAACTGATTTGGGCATTTCTTTTCTATCTAGACGTACAATTTTTTCCCCAAGACAGGGTTTCTCTGTGTAACAAACAGCCCTGGCTGTCCTGGCACTTGCTCTGTAGACCAGGCTGGCCTCAGACTCACCTTCCCATGCCTCCCAAGTGCTGAGATTAAAGGCATGCACCGGCTAGGCCTATAATTATTAAATGGGCTTTTGTTTTGTTTTGAGACAGGGTCTCTTTATGTAGTCATGGCTGTCCTGGAACTTGCTATATAGACCAGGCTGGCCTCGAACTCAAGAACCCTGAGCACCATCTACTTATATAGTCCATCTCAGCTCACTGCAATGGAACCAGGAGCCTGCTGCCTAAAACAGCAATCAGGTCAAAGCAGGACCGCCCAGTGCCTTCAGATCTAGAACACATCAGCAAGTGGTGCAATGGCGCCACCTCTATGTCCTTTTGAAATCTGTCATAGCTGATCAATTCCCCTCAACAGGCTGCAGTTGACCACTTTCCTTTCTTCTTTTGGTGCGGGTCTCATGCAGTCCAGGTTGGCTTTGAACTCCTGATCCTCTTTCAAGTGCTGAGACCACAGGTGAGTACCACCAAACCCAGCTCCAGCTTTACCTTTTACACTCACTTCTCATTATCAGCAAATAGACCAGTACAATTCTGGACCTCTAGGTCATGGACAACAACACTTACTTGATTGAGGGTACAGGCATGTGTTGGAGCTGGTTCCTGAGATCCTGAAAGTTCAATCCTTCTGGTCTTGGGCAAGCCTTGATCAAATTCAGCACCTGACAGTTCAAATAACAACTTTAGCAACTACTCTGAATCAGTTTACTTAAGTAAACCTGAGTCCCTACATAAGCAAAAAGAAGGGCTGGAGAGATGGCTCAGGAGGAGCACTTGCAGAGAACCTGGGTTTGTAGCCTCTCTAGCCTCCACTGGTATCAGGCCATGTGGACACACGGACAAGAAAGGATGGACGGACACAAACACAGACACACACTAAAAGGGAGGGAGGGTGTTGGTGTGAAGCAGGCACCAAGATAATTTAGATCATTTAAGAAGTAACAAAATATAGGCCTGCCTAGGCTTCACAGGGGAAATAGGCATCTTACCTGGTTTTGGATCACAGTGAGGCCATTTGCTGGCATGAAGTTATTCCCACTGAAGTTTCCTGGCTCACCCATTCCCGGGTTGCTGATAGGTGTTTTCCCTGCTGAAAGCTGAATTAAGAACAAGTTCAGAACATTAGAAAAGCCACCAAGTCAAGCCTACTTCAAATAACTTGCTAATAAACAGCAAGACACAATTTCATGTTTTCCTAGCAACTGTTTATATAGGAAAGCTATAACAATAAACGTTTCAGAGAGGAAAGTAAAATAACCTCCTGAAGCACATAATCTCTCTCCCCTGAAAAGGATACTTCTGGCTTTGTGATTTCATGTGCAAGTTATGATTTCATTGAGAACCATTCAAGCAAGCACTTATTATGAATCATCACTGGGAGACAAAAGAACTTAGGCTTGCCTGCAGGAGCAATAAGGCTGTGGGTTCAATTCGCAACACTAAGAAGAAAGGGGGCACAGTTGCTCCACCCTCTTTTTAGTAACTCCTTTCTCTGCCTACCACTATCAGGATTACCTCAAATACTCCTCTGAATCCAGTTCTACAAAGTCACCCATGACTTATCAATCAGCAGCTAGCAGCTGACACTGCTGACCATTGTCTCCCCCCGCCCCCAAGACTTCTTCACACCAAATTCTCTGGCTTCCCAATTACTCAAACTGTACCTTCTCAGTACCATTCATTTGCCCCATCTCCAAAGGCTAACAAGTTCCCCTCAGGATCCCATCCCAGACCTCTTTTTTCTTTCTTTCTTTCTCTTTCTTTCTTTCTTTCTTTCTTTCTTTCTTTCTTTCTTTCTTTCTTTCTTTCTTTCTTTCTCTCTCTCTCTCTCTCT